ACAAGAGATACAATGTAACAGTTCAAGAGACCACTAGAGAGATTTAGGAGATACATGTATTCAATGGTTCCAAATTCCCTCCAGTGTTCTCCAGAATTGTTACATTGTATCCTGATTTGCAAAGACATACTCAGATCAGCCATAACATTATGACCAATGACAGGTGAAGGGAAAAACATTGATTATCTCATTACAATGACACCTGAAAGTGGGAGGGATATATTAGGCAGCACGTGAGTATGGTGTCCCTGAAGTTGGTGTGTTGAAAACAGAAAAAATGGACATTTAGAGAGAGGATTTGAGAGACTCTGACAAGGGCCAAATTGTAATGTCTAGATGACCGGGTCAGAGCAACTCCAAAACTGCAGCTCTTGTGGGATGTTTCTGGTCTGCAATGGTCAGGACTGACCAAAAGTGGTCCAAGGAAGGAAAACCGGACAGCAGATGACAGGGTCATGGGCAGCAAAGGCTCATTGATGGAGGTGGGGAGGGAAGGCTCATTGATGGAGGTGGGGAGGGAAGGCTCACTGATAGAGGTTAGGGGGAGCTCACTGATGGACGTGGAGGGAAGGCAAGCCTCATTGATGGAGGTGGGGAGGGAAGGCTCATTGATGGAGGTGGGGAGGGAAGGCTCATTGATGGAGGTGGGGAGGGAAGGCTCACTGATGGAGGTGGGGGGGGGAGCTCACTGATGGACGTGGAGGGAAGGCAAGCCTCATTGATGGAGGTGGGGAGGGAAGGCTTATTGATGGAGGTAGGGAGGGAAGGCACATTGATGGAGGTGGGGAGGGAAGGCACATTGATGGAGGTGGGGAGGGAAGGCACATTGATGGAGGTGGGGGAGAGAAGGCTCACTGATGGATGTGGAGAGGGAAGGCACATTGATGGAGGTGAGGAGGGAAGGCTCATTGATGGAGGTAAGGAATAAATGCTCAATGATGGATGTGGAGAAGGAAGGCTCATTGATGGATGTGGGGAGGAGAGACTCATTGATGGAGGTGGGGAGGAAAGGCTCACTGATGGACGTGGGGAGGGAAGGCTCATTGATAAAAGTGGGGAGGGAAGGCACATTGATGGAGGTGGAGAGGGAAGGCACATTGATGGAGGTGGGGGAGAGAAGGCTCACTGATGGATGTGGAGAGGGAAGGCTCATTGATGGAGGGGAAAGACTCATTGATGGAGGTGGGGAAGGAAGTCTTATTGATGGAGGTGGGGAGAGAAGGCTCATTGATGGAGGTGGAGAGGGCAGGCTCATTGATGGAGGTGGGGAGGGAGGTCTCATTGATAGAGGTGAGGAGGGAAGGCTCATTGATGGAGGTAATGAGGGAAGGCTCATTGATGGAGGTGGTGAGGGAAGGCTCATTGATGGAGGTGGTGAGGGAAGGCTCATTGATGGAGGTGGTGAGGGAAGGCTCATTGATGGAGGTGGTGAGGGAAGGCTCATTGATGGAGGTGGTGAGGGAAGGCTCATTGATGGAGGTGGTGAGGGAAGGCTCATTGATGGAGGTGGTGAGGGAAGGCTCATTGATGGACGTGTTGAGGGAAGGCTCATTGATGGACGTGTTGAGGGAAGGCTCATTGATGGACGTGTTGAGGGAAGGCTTGCCTGTGTAGTCTGATCCAATAGAAGAGCTCACATTGATGAAAAAGTGAATGCTGGTTGAGATAGAAAGGTGTCAGAACAGGCAGAGCATTGCAGTTTGTTGTGTAAGGGGCTGTGTAGCTGCAGACCGGTCAGTGTACCCATGCTGACCTGTGTCCACAGCCAAATGTGCCTACAATGGACACGTGAGCATCAAGAACTGTAGCATGGAGCAATGGAAGAATGTGGTCTGGTCTGATGAATGACGTTTTCTTTTCCATCATGTGGATGGCCGGGTGGGTGTGCGTCACTTACCTGAGGAAGAGATGGCACCAGGAATGCAGTATGGGAAGAAGACAAGCCTGCGGAGGCAGTGTGATGCTTCAGGTAATGTTCTGCTGGGGAACCTTGGCTCCGCCCTTCATGTGGATGCTATCGGACATGTCCCACCTACCTAAAAACATTGTTGGTGGTCAAGTAAGTTCATTCATGGAAACGGTATTGTCAGGGCTCCGGGTATGACCAGAGGTGTGTGGACTGACAGGGAAACGCAGGCTTCAGATATGGTATAAATAAGGCGATTTATTAAGACTAACAATACAAACAAACGCAGTGCACCAAACCCCAAGCTAACACAAATACATACAACAAGGTGAAACAAACCCAAACCTAAACTGATATAGATACCCAGGTACATACACATATAGAGCACAACGTAGTCAGGCAGGCCAGGTCAATAACAATCGGGCAGGTAGGTACAGGAGGAGCAGGCGGAGAGAATGGTCAGGGTCACAAGCCAGGGATCAAACAGGAGAAGTCAGCAGAGGTCAGGATCAGGCAGGGTCAGCAACACGTCAGTCAGGCAGGAACAGGAATGCAGGTAACAAGATACAGGGGCCCATGGAAAAACACACACCAAGGCACAGTCTGCAGGTCTGGCCATCCCTTAAATACACCTGCAATCAGCTTTCAGGTGTTTGGCTGACTGCAGGGTTGAGTCTCTGATTGCTGAGAGAACCCGCTGGCCAGCCCTGGTACTGCAGCCCACAAGTCCATTCCTGACAGTACCCCCGCCTCAAGGAGCGGCCTCCGGACGCTCCAAACAGTCCTAGCTGGGCAAAATGTTCCACCGCCCGGGTCTGGTAACTGGCGGGATATCAAAGACCGGCACATCGGGCTGGACTCCGGGCAGAGGCACGTCGGGCAGGACTCCGGGCAGAGGCACGTCGGGCTGGACTCCGGGCAGAGGCACGTCGGGCTGGACTCCGGGCAGAGGCACGTCGGGCTGGACTCCGGGCAGAGGCACGTCGGGCTGGACTCCGGGCAGAGGCACGTCGGGCTGGACTCCGGGCAGAGGCACGTCGGGCTGGACTCCGGGCAGAGGCACGTCGGGCTGGACTCCGGGCAGAGGCACGTCGGGCAGGACTCCGGGCAGAGGCACATCGGGCAGGACTCCGGGCAGAGGCACGTCGGGCAGGACTCCGGGCAGAGGCACGTCGGGCTGGACTCCGGGCAGAGGCACGTCGGGCTGGACTCCGGGCAGAGGCACGTCGGGCTGGACTCCGGGCAGAGGCACGTCGGGCTGGACTCCGGGCAGAGGCACGTCGGGCTGGACTCCGGGCAGAGGCACATCGGGCTGGACTCCGGGCAGAGGCACATCGGGCTGGACACTGGACAGAGGCACATCGGGCTGGACACCGGATCACCAGGCGGAGCAGCAGGCACCGGGCCACCAGGCGGAGCGGCGGGCGTCGGGCCCCCAGGTGGAGCAGCGGGCGTCGGGCCCCCAGGCGGAGGAGCGGCGGGCACTGGGCCCTCAGGCGGAGCGGCGGGCGCCAGGCCCCCAGGCGGGGCGGCAGGCGCCGGGCCCCCAGGCGGAGCGACAGGCATCGGGCCCCCTAAGCGGGGTGGCAGGCACCGGGCCCCCAGGCAGGGCGGCAGGCACCGGGCCCCCAGGAGGAGCGGCAGGCACAGGGCCCCCAGGAGGAGCGGCAGGTACCGGGCCCCCAGGCGGAGCGGCAGGCACCGGGCCCCCAGGAGGAGCGGCAGGCACAGGGCCCCCAGGAGGAGCGGCAGGCACAGGGCCCCCAGGAGGAGCGGCAGGCACATGCCCCCAGGCGGGGCGGCAGGCACCGGGCCTTCAGGCGGGGCGGCAGGCACCGGGCCATCAGGCAGGACAGCGGGCTCTGAGTCAACTGGCACGACAGCGGGCATCAGGTCACCAGGCATCAGGTCATTTGGCTCGACAGCGGGCACCGCGTCATCTGGCAAGGCAGTGGGCACTGAGTCACCAGGCACGGCAGTGGGCTCCGAGTCAATTGGCATGACCGCGGGCACTGGGTCAGACCTTGGATCGTCTGGCTGGACAGCGGGCATCGGGTCACCAGGCATCAGGTCATTTGGCTTGACAGCGGGCACCGCGTCATCTGGCAAGGCAGTGGGCACCGAGTCACCAGGCACGACAGGGGGCTCCGAGTCAACTGGCATGACAGCGGGCACTGGGTCAGACATTGGATTGTCTGGCTCGACAGCGGGCATCGGGTCACCAGGCATCAGGTCACTTGGCTCGACAGCGGGCACCGCATCATCTGGCAAGGCAGTGGGCACCGAGTCACCAGGCACGACAGTGGGCTCTGAGTCAATTGGCACGACAGCGGGCACCGGGTCATCAGGTACCGGATCATCTGGCTCGACAGCAGGCACCGGGTCATCTGGCGCTGGATCGTCTGGCTCGACAGCGGGCATCGGGTCACCAGGCATGACAGCGGGCACTGGGTCATCAGGCATTGGATCGTCTGGCTCGACAGTGGGCATCGGGTCACCAGGCATGACAGCGGGCACTGGGTCATCAGGCATTGGATTGTCTGGCTTGACAGTGGGCATCGGTCACCAGGTATGACAGCGGGCACTGGGTCACCAGGCATCAGGTCATTTGGCTCGCCAGCGGGGCACCGCGTCATCTGGCAAGGCAGTGGGCACCGAGTCACCAGGCACGACAGTGGGCTCCGAGTCAACTGGCATGACCGCGGGCACTGGATCAGACATTGGATCGTCTGGCTCGACAGCGGGCATCAGGTCACCAGGCATCAGGTCACTTGGCTCGACAGCGGGCACCGCGTCATCTGGCAAGGCAGTGGGCACCGAGTTACCAGGCACGACAGTGGGCTCTGAGTCAATTGGCACGACAGCGGGCACCGGGTCATCAGGTACCGGATCGTCTGGCTCGACAGCAGGCACCGGGTCATCTGGAGCTGGATCGTCTGGCTCGACAGCGGGCATCGGGTCACCAGGCATGACAGCGGGCACTGGGTCATCAGACATTGGATCATCTGGCTCGACAGCGGGCATCGGGTCACCAGGCATGACAGCGGGCACCGGGTCATCAGGCAATGGATTGTCTGGCTCGACAGCGGGCATCGGGTCATCTGGCGCTGGATCGTCTGGCTCGACAGCAGGCATCGGGTCACCAGGCATGACAGCGGGCACTGGGTCATCAGGCATTGGATCGTCTGGCTCGACAGCGGGCATCGGGTCACCAGGCATGACAGCGGGCACCAGGTCATCAGGTACCGGATCGTCTGAATCGACAGCGGGCACCGGGTCATCAGGCATTGGATCGTCTGGCTCGACAGCGGGCATCGGGTCACCAGGCATGACAGCGGGCACCGGATCGTCTGGATCGACAGCGGGCATCGGGTCATCAGGCATTGGATCGTCTGGCTCCACAGCGGGCATCGGGTAACCAGGTATGACAGCGGGCACTGGGTCATCAGGCATTGGATCGTCTGGCTGGATCAGTTCATCAGGCTGGGTACAGACATCAGACTGGGTAGAGACATCAGGCTGAAGTGCGGGTGCCGAGGCACCAGGCTGAACCACGGAAGGCAGGTTCTCAGACGGCAGGCTCACCGGTTTGGATACTGGCAGGATGGTATTGGTTGGAAAGAATTTTCGCTTTTTTCTGGTTTTAACTACTGGAGCAATGCAAGTAAACGCAGGTCTGCAAACGAATGGAGCAGCTGAGGACAGAGAAGAGCTGGAAGATGGAACAGAGGAGGGAGCAGTTGCTACAGGGGGCTTCTTTACAGGGTTAAAGAAAGGATAGGTGCAGCGAGTGGGAGCAGAGGACTGGTATGTGGTAGTTAGCAGAGTATACTGGGCAGTCACTGGGCGTGCTGTCGGGGATGCAGGAAGAGTGCCTTGAGCGGAGGGATGATGTTGTAAGCTGACTGAGGCTGGGTGCAACAAGTCTGACCATGTCTGCAGTATGGGTTGAACAAAGCTCAGCTTACACAAAGCCTGTCTGGTCAATGACTGCACTGCGTTTATACAATCTCTTAGTACCTGTGGTAAACATGCAGCATAATGCTCCAAGAAGCAATCCACATCATCTTCTAATAACCATACCAGGGACTCTACCTGGTCGGCACTAAATGGGGGCAAAAAGTCATTCCTGCTTTCAGGGGTACCAGATGAAACCAACTCTACACAAACCTGAATCAAAGGTTGCACCTCAGAGAACTCTGTGCCCTGATCTACTAGAACATGAGCGATCCGTATACATTCTAGCAGTTGATCCCGGGGATACTCCTTCAGAGTCTGATAAGCATATTCTCTGTCATCAAACACTAGCAGATATAAATACACAACCTCATCAAGATCCATCCTTCCCAGCAACAAGCCAAGATGGCTTCCCTGTGCAGCCACTTCTGGTCAGGATTGGCCTTGGTGTAATGTCAGGGCTCCGGGTATGACCAGAGGTGTGTGACTGACGCAGGGAATGCGGGTTTCAGATATGGTATAAATAAGGCGATTTATTAAGACTAACAATACAAACATAAACGCAGTGCACCAAACCCCAAGCTAACACAAATACATACAACAAACCCCAAGCTAACACAAATACATACAACAAGGTGAAACAAACCCAAACCTAAACTGGTATAGATACACAGGTACATACACATATAGAGCACAACGTAGTCAGGCAGGCCGGGTCAATAACAATCGAGCAGGTAGGTACAGGAGGAGCAGGCGGAGAGAATGGTCGGGGTCACAAGCCAGGGATCAAACAGGAGAAGTCAGCAGAGGTCAGGATCAGGCAGGGTTAGCAACACGTCAGTCAGGCAGGAACAGGAATGCAGGTAACAAGATACAGGGGCCCATAGAAAAACACACACCAAGGCACAGACTGCAGGTCTGGCCATCCCTTAACCACTTCCAGACCGGACACTTTTACCCCCTTCCTGACCAGGGCAATTTTCAGCTTTCAGCGCTATCACACTTTGAATGACAATTGCGCAGTCATGCAACACTGTACCCAAATTAAATTTTTACCATTTTTTTGAGACAGATAAAGCTTTATTTTGGTGGTATTTATTCACCGCTGGGATTTTTATTTTTTTTGCTATGTAAATGAAAATGTCCAAAAATTTTGAACAAAAGTGTTTTTTTTTTTATAACATTTTGCAAATAAATTATATTTCATCATAAATCTTTGCCAAAATTTATTACGCTATCTTTTTAGTAAAAAAAACAAAAAACAAATTAGTTTATAACCAAAAATTATAATTTTTAAACATTTTTTTTTTACAATTTTATTTTTTTATATTATTTTTTATTAATTTATTTTTTTTACATACTGTCACCCTAGCAGTACAGTGTCACCATGGTGACACTGTACTACTTGTGGGGGGTGATGAAGATTTTTTTTTTTTTTTTTTTTTACACTGATTGCTTTTACACCCATATAGGATGTAAAAGCAATCATTTCTCTTTCTCATTGAGAAGTACTGAGTGAGCTGTGATTGGTCACAGCTTGTCACATGGTACAAGGCTGTTGTGAATAGCCTTGTACCATGTGACCTCTGTGATCATTCAGAGATTTCACACGTAGTAAGCAATGATGTCACAAGTGACATCTTGCTTACTACTTTGCATGTGATCACTGATTGGCCAATCAGTGATCACATGATCGGGACCTCGTACAGAGGTCCCGTCCGACGATCGGTGTTTCACTGTGTCCGGAGGAGACAGCGGGCACCGGATCGCGGTGCTGCGCGCTCCCAGGGAGCGCGCACAAGCAGGGTGCGGGGAGGCCGTTCATAAACGGCCACCCGACCCTGCAGTGCCACCGTCCGGCCGTTTATATGCAACGGCCCGACGGGAGGTGGTTAAATACACCTGCAATCAGCTTTCAGGTGTTTGGCTGACTGCAGGGTTGAGTCTCTGATTGCTGAGAGCACCCGCTGGCCAGCCCTGGTACTGCAGCCCACAAGTCCATTCCTGACAGGTATTCCCTGATGGCAGTGACCTCTTCCAGCAGGATAATGCTCCGTGCCACTCTGCAAAAATGGTTTGAAGACCACAACAATGAGTCTGAGGTGTTGGATATCATCCAATCGAGCATCTGTGGGATGTTCTGGAAATATAAGTCCGATACCAACCAAATCACACTTTTTGTTCCTCCCAACCCACATGGAAGAAAAATATATTTGAAATGTTATAATTTTGGCCATATTCGATACATTTGAAAATATATATTATATACACATACATATATACTGCATGTTGAAATGCATTTTTATAACAAAATATATGAAAAATATTTTTAAAAATACATTTCAACCGTAGTGTATGTCTTTAAAAATACAAATCTACATTTTTGGAATGCATTTACAAATACGTATATGTACAAAATATATATGTTAACATGACTTTTTTATATGTTAAAAAAAAAATCTGAAGAATGTATTTTAAAAAAATATATTGTTCAAAATATTTTTCATATATTTTGCAATCTATAAAAAATGCATTTCAACATGTAGTGTGTATATATATATAGATATATATATACACACATACTGTACATATATTAAATATTTTTCATATATTTTGCAATATAAAAAAAAACACACTTAAACATGCAGTATATATATATATATTGAAATATATATTATATACACTTTATTATATACTATATAAAAGACATATATTACAGTATATTTGAAATATATTGTTAAAAATATTTTTCATATATTTTGCAATATATAATAAACACATTTCAACATGCAATGTATATGTGTGTATATATACAGTGTGTATACATATATTTTTTTTTTATTGAAATATATATATTATATACTATACTATATATACTTTATTATATACTATATAAAAGACATACAGTATGTTTGAAATGTATTCTTAAAAATATTTTTCATATATTTTGTAATAAAAACACATTTCAACATGTAGTGTATATGTATATATATATACAGTTGCAAGAAAAAGTATGTGAACCCCTTGGGATTACGTGGAGTTTTGCATGAATTGGGCATAAAATGTGCTCTGAACGTCATCTAAGTCACAACAATAGAAGAACACAATCTGCTGAACATAATACTACACAAACATTAGATGTTGACATGGTTTAATTGCACATAACATGTAAACATTCACAGTGCAGGGAGGAAAAAGTATGTGAACCTTTGGACTTAATAACTGGTTGACCCTCCTTTGGCAGCAATAACCTCAACCAAACGTTTCCTGTAGTTGCAGATCAGACCCGCACAACGATCTGGAGTCATTTTGGACCACTCCTCTTCACAAAACTGTTTCAGTGTAGCAATATTCTTGGGATGTCTGGTGTGAATCGCTCTCTTAAGGTCATGCCACAGCATTTCAATGGGGTTGAGGTCAGGACTCTGACTGGGCCACTCCAGAAGGCATATTCTGTGCTGTTGCAGCCATTGTTTTGTTGAATGACTTGTATGCTTTGGGTCATTGTCCTGTTGCATCACCCATCCTCTGCGGAGCTTCAGTTGGCAGACAGATGGTCGTACGTTTTCCTGCAAAATGTCTTGATAAACTCTGGAATTCATTTTCCCATCAATGACAACAATCCGTCCAGCCCTGAGGCAGCAAAGCAGCCCCAAACCATGATGCTCCCTCCGCCATGTTTCACAGTGGGGATGAGGTTTTGATGTTGGTGTGCTGGGCCTTTTTTTCTCCACACATAGTGTTGTGTGTTCTTCCCAAACAACTCAATCTTGGTGTCATCTGTCCACAGTATATTCTGCCAGTAGTGCTGTGGAACATCCAGGTGCTCTTTTGCAAACTTCAAACGTGCTGCAATATTCTTTTTGGACAGCAATGGCTTCCTCCGTGGTGTCCTCCCATGTACTCCATTCTTGTTTAATGGTTTCCTTATTGTAGATGTGTCAACAAAAATGTTAGCATGTGCCAGAGATTTCTGTAGGTCTTTAGCTGACACTCTGGGATTCTTCTTTACCTCATGCAGCATTCTGCGCTGTGCTCTTGCAGTCATTTTTACAGGACGACCGCGCCTAGGGAGAGTAGCAACAGTGCTAAACTTTCTCCATTTGTAGACAGTCTGTCTTACCGTGGACACATGAACATCAAGGCTCAAGGAGATACTTTTGTAACCCTTTCCAGCTCCATGCAAGTCAACAATTCTTGATCGTAGGTCTTCTGAGAGCTCTTTTCTGCGAGGCATGGTTCACATCAGACAGTGCTTCTTGAAACCAGTAAACCCAAAACAGGTGTCAGCAACACATCCAATATCATCACACTGATTGGAGTCAAGGTTGGCTCACTCCTGGCTCCAATTAGCTCTGGGAGAAGTCATTAAGCTAGGGCCTCACATACTTTTTCCTCCCTGCACTGTGAATGTTTACATGTTATGTGCAATTAAACCATGGCAACATCTAATGTTTGTGTAGTATTATGTTCAGCAGACTGTGTTCTTCTATTGTTGTCACTTAGATGACGTTCAGAGCACATTTTATGCCCAATTCATGCAAAACTCCACGTAATCCCAAGGGGTTCACATACTTTTTCTTGCAACTGTATATATATAATAAATATGGCCAAAATTGTAGCATTTCACATATATTTCAATATATTTGGGAAGAATATTTTAAA